ATTGGTTCATAACTATTCTTGATCAAGACAAGGAAGTATACCGCAAAGAATTATCTGCAATGAGACAACTTTTTTATTCGTTGCTTTTTCTATGGAGACAGGCTTGATGATGTTGAAGGCTTTGCATCTACCTCTGGCAGTGACAGTGGCAAAGATGACCATAAGTACGTTTACAATTTGACATCAAAATCAGATTTTACTTGAGATTTTGTAGTTTCTGATACTTGGTTCACTTGGACAAAACAGTGGGGAGCAATTGATGGAAGATGGATCTCAAATAGCTCCAAGGAAAAAGAAAAAACTTGTTCTTGATGGTGATTTGGAAAGACAAATTAAAAATCTCTACGAGAAGTAGGTTTAACCAGATCTAACTTTTGTCTGAACTTTGGAGAATGATTCAGTCTTTTTTCTTTTATATATTTTAACATCATTGATACCAACATACTTAAAGGAGTCAGCATGATAGACTGAGTCGTAGCTTTTCAATTTTTTGTTTCTCTCTTGCATATAAGATTTAACTGTTTTCATCAATGGTTCTTCCTTTCTCCAAATATTCTAGATTCAAAGAAGACCAACAATGCAGTCGTCGTATAGCTGAAGTGCTAGATCCAGACGGTAAAATTTCACCAGCTCAAATTTCCAATATGTTAAAAAGATTAGGACTAACAGTTACACATAAGAAAAAGAAGGGTGATGGTGACGGACCTTTGTCTACTAGTAGTCCTAAACAATTAGATGGTGACGGAATAACACGAGAAACTAAAAAATCAGTGAATTCGGAGGGAAGCCTGTTGGTTCAGCCCCTGTAAGTTTATATTACTCTTGTGCTTATTAATAATTACTGGATTTTTTCAATTAAATTTATGTTTACTCCTGGAAATGACATATTTTGTCATTATTGTTCATCCTAATTCAACAATTTTTTTTACATACATGTTAATGTATTAAACATGTTTAGCTCTTCTGAGTGTGTTCAATTTCATATTTACAGGCAAAAAAAGAAAAGAGTTCGAGCTTTCAATGAAAACCAGGAAGCTTTAATCAAAGTTCTATATGAGCAGTGAGTGCCACTTAACTTGGTTTTGCTTGGTGGAAGATTGCGTTTGATCTCTTTCTGTTATTTACTTGAGGATTTCTGAACAGATAGTTAAATAAGAAGATTCCATGTTTTCTGAATTTTCAATAATATTTTGCACAAATTGACTAATAACAGAAGAATTTAGATTTTCTGTTAATATTTGGGTTGTTATTTCTGCAGATTCAAGGACCACAGAAGATGTAGTTACATGATAGCCAATGCACTGGATAAGGATGGTAAATTCACTTCTGCCCAAGTCTCTCGAAAACTTAAGCAGCTTGGTTTATCTATTCCCGGGAAGAAGAGTTCTGGAGGCAAAATGCACCCAAAAGGTGCAGATCTCATGGATGGTTCAATTGATAGAATGAATGAGTCTGATGATGAGACATTGATATCATTGGTAAAAAGGTAATGTTGTGTTTAGTCTGTAGTTTTACAAAGCTGAGGCATTAATTCTTCCACCTGTTTGCAAAATAATATTCACTCTTCGTCATGTGAAACTTGCAAAAGGCCATTTACCATTTCTTCAATAGACATTGTTTCGAATCATATACATAAATATATGCTTCAACTGAATTTCAGTACTTTGTCAAATGCATTTTTATTGTGCTGACCAGCTGCATGAGTGTCTCCTAGTTCTCCTCCCTTTAACTACTGTTTAATGTTTATAATTTTAGGAAGAAAATGGAGAATAGCAAATTATTGCATGGACATACCAGTGGGGATAGATTGTCAACAGATGATTCTGATGATGAAATGCTCAGCTCTGTTCTCAGGTAATGTTCGTTGCCTTTCCTTTTCTAGGAGACCAGAAGTTCACAGATTAGTGATAGGTTCATAAATGCTTTGTCAGGAATTTAGTTTGATCTGGTAATTCTTCCCGATCCTATCTGCTTTGACTTGAAAAAAATGATAGACTTTTCTTGTATATCTAAACTTATATTTTATTTGGGATTAACTGTCCTTTTTTTTTTTAATTTAGGAAAAAAATAAATAGCAAATCGTCTACTGAACAATTACCTGAACGCATCAGTAAGGATACATCGACAAGAGATAATTCTGATGATGAAATGCTCAGCTCTGCTCTCAAGTAAATATTCCGTACTTTCACTTTTCTTGGATAATCGTGGCAACAATGAGGTTCTATTTTGGTAATAGACTAACGGTACACTTTTGCCACCTAGTGGGAAAAGACTTCTTGTTGCAATAGCACCTTTCACTAGTTTGATTATTTAGGCAGACAATTTTGGTTTTAGTGTTTGAACATTCCTGGGTATTTAGTCTATTTGTTTAACAATAAATTGTAATAACGTTTGTTATTCAGATGTTAATAAGAATCAATGTCTGCTTCAGCTAAACTAACACAACAATCTGGTTTATGGAAATGAACACCAATCTACCTGAGTTTCCTATTAACTGTTTGCTTGTACGGAACATTTACTGCTTTTGTTTACTTTTTTTCCTGTTTAATTGTAGTGGGGTCAAACAGATTGTGTCTGAATAGAAGATGGCTGAATTGATATAGTATATTCTTTCAGTGTTTTCATATCTAACATAAAGCAACAAAATCTATAAATCAATGTAGAATTAGAAATACGCGGATACAGTTTATCTCAGGCTTCTTTTATGGCCTAATTTGATTACTTTGGTGGTTGAATTGAATTTGTATTGCAGGGAAAATCGAGTTGGTTCCATGGATTCCTCCCAAGTAGAAGATCAGCAAATGGATGACTTGGCAGATTCAGAGGATGAAGTGGCTGTTAGTGCATTTCCTAACAATGCTGGATCCAGAAGGAAGCTGAGAATGGTGATTGATCCCGAGGACGATGACTGAAGTGGGAAAAGCATGATTAGGGTCCATTTTTTTTTTCTTCCTGCAAATATTTTCTTCTGTTCAAAGATTGGATCTTTCTGTGTATACTCGTTTTGGTTGTCAATTGCTCAAACAGAACACCGTCCCCTAAAAAAATTGTTTTCACTTTTAAATCTATATTATATAATCTATAAATACAATAATAATTTATCTTTTTTAATATATATTTTTTCTATTATTTTCCCTTTAAACACAAGTTATATTATTATCACTGGCTCAAAGGTATTTTGTATCTTTATTTTATTTGGATAAAAAATGAGAGAAAATGGAAGTTGAGATAAAAGAGAAAGTGAATTATAATAGAGAAAATAAAATAGTTCAATCAAAATATTTACATGAAAACAGAGAATTGCCTTTATTAGCTGTACATGTGAAATTTTTTTTTTTTACTCCATTGACTACATATAAAATTTAATTTCAAAGTATCTACACATTTCTTATTTAACTTCTATTTTCGCTCTTCATTTTTTTTTTCATTTATAATGCTGTGGGACGAAATACTTCTTTTCCCTGATATACGGAAGTATGTAAACTCATTCGTGGATAAAACGATTATGGAACAAATCGTCCTCGTAACTTGAAAAATATATAAATGATAATGAAATTAGTCTTCCGCCAGTACAAGGTTTGAACGACTATTCACAAAAGGATACTTGTTATAATAAAAAGGATAATAGTTTCTAAGTTGCGGATATATATATATATATATATATAT